CATCATCATCGTCATCATCATCATCATCACCACCACCGCCAACCCTGCAGGTAATACACCCTCACCTCCGCACCCCCTCCCCGTCATCATCATCATCATCATCGTCATCATCATCATCATCACCACCACCGCCAACCCTGCAGGTAATACAACCTCACCTTCGCGCCCTCTCCGTCATGATGATGATGATGATGATGATGATGATGATGATGATGATGATGGTCATTATCATCATCATCATCACCATCATCATCATCATCATCATCATCACCATCATCATCATCATCATCATCATCATCACCACCACCACCGCCAACCCTGCAGGTAATAAATATAACATCGCTCACGCACGTGTTCACGTGATCACGCGGAAACAATAGCAGGCGATAATAATAGCAGGAGCAACAGCAGCGCGGCGCGGCGCGCGTACATGTGCGTGTACGTGTGCGCGCGTTTTTTTCAATCTATTATGGGTGTCGTGTTTGACAAATTAATCCGCGACGAGCACAATGCGATGCGTGGGTGTTTTCACGTGATTTATGCAGCCGAGTTATTTAGCCACAGTAGAGAACAGGAGAAGCTATCGGCATATCGAGTTCAAAAACAGCCGAGATTGGTCTGACATACCATACCGCTCTCGCACTGCATGCTATAATCACACTGAAGGCCATTACACACACACATATATATATATCAGCGTCGCGCAAGCGGCGTAGACTATATGTAGCGCATTTCTACGATACGTTGGGCCTAAACACGTTATCGCCTGTCGTGACGGGAATATGCTGGAGAAAATATCAATATATATGTCGTTATCGATTACTTCGATAGCATTCGTGCTCCGATATATACACATGGTCGACTCTTTATAACACAGATAACATATGCAATGATTAATTAGCAGGTATAGCAATAAGGGTCATCGGTGTAGGCGGGCGCACTACTATTTGATTCACACACATGTGTACGCGTGTTGTATATTAATTAACATCACTGATACAATGCGGTACAGCCCCACCGAGTTAAGGAATATATTGCATCAAATATTACTTCCACGATATATAACTTGATTGATAATAAACTTGTTGTGTTGTTTATTCACGCGATGTTTGTTGTCAAAATCGTGCGTGATGCTTGTCTATAAAGTTATTTAATAATTGCCTTCTTACTGGTTGCTGAGATATGTACACATTGGCGGCGTGTAATCGGTCTTATACTCATATGTTTTTAATAATACACCCACACAATTCCTCACATAACGTAATACGTCACAGCTCTTCTGCCTCACATAGTGTAATACCACGCCACAGCTTTCCTGCCTCACATAGTGTAATACGTCACAGTCCTGCTGCCTCACATAGTGTTATACGTCACAGCTTTCCTGCATCACATAGCGTAATACGTCACAGCCCCCTGCTTCACATAGCGTAATACGTCACAGCTCTACTGACACGCATGATGTAATGTCTCAGCCCCTGTTTCGCATAGGCCAATACCTTGAATATCTTTCACACACACACAGCAATCAATAGGCTTAGCCGTATCCACTTACGGAGGTAAAATATGCCTCACTGGTCTCAATGCCCGCGACACTGCATAGGGAATATTTCTTACTATTACTGCGCCGACACTGCATAATAATGTACCCGGTCGAGGCCACAAAAATTCTAACATATCCCCGGGTGAGATTAGAGCCGAAGTCCCAAGTACAGTGCAGTGCAGTGCAGTGCGCTCTCTATAGCCTCTTCGCTTCTTGCCCATGCGTACACTTCAAAGGCTTCTGACTCATGCCGTCTATTCCTAACCCCCCTATATCTACGTCGCCCGGGTATTCAGGCCACTGTAACATGTCTGCACTGTTCTGAGTCACGCATTTGCTGTCATATAAGCTGTGCACACATCGGCCATGAATGGAGCTATTATGCTAATAAGGCCATTGTACTCACCTAATATTGAGCAGTGGGCGTGTCTTGTGTACCTGCACGTCACATATTGGGCAGTACTTGCTTGTCTCCAGGTAACGAACGATGCAGGTTTTACAAACTGAAACAGAACACGATAAAGCGCATTATAGAGGCGCAGTGCATGTTGTGCTAGACAACGTGCGAGATCATCATTAATGTATGTTGATCTGAAAGGTACACGCGCACACACACACGCACGCCACGCTCACGCAAGCACGCACGCACATGCACGCATGCACGGACACACACGTACGCGCGCACACACACGCGCGAACAAGCTCGTACATATATGTGAGCGAACATACGCGCAGACATGCACACGCAAACATACACACGCACACGAAAAACATGCACATGCACTAGTAACAAACGATACCGAATTAACTCCAGTATATCGAATATTATTATATATTCCTGATCGTGCGATACTTCCTGGCTTGAGTGACGGCCGCGTACGTGTCTATAGAGTAATGATAGCATGCCTTAGAACACTCGCACTTCTTACCAATATATGCCGCTATCGAGATTTTCTTGTTAATTCCTTGCTGTTGGTTACATATGAATATCAAGCGATTCTCGCATCTCGCGAGAAAAGTTATTAGTAACTTTTATAAAACAATGGAGACGGGGTACTAGTCTATATCTATTTACGTCACAGAACTCTCATGCAACTTTGATAGAATAAGATGCATGTTAGATTGTGTTAATTAACTTTTAATTCGTTAACGAAAAATGCACGTTAATTAACAAAAGTCGACGGATCATTAGAAATTAAAACTTATTGTAGAATACCTAATAAAATTTAAAAACATCTAAATTTCCCACCATCGTTATGACATTTAGCGTGTACCGTGCGGTGTCACAATATCATAGACATACACACACGCGCGCGCGCACGCACGCATACCCACACACATACACACACAGGCACGTAGGCCTACGCGCACATACGGGCGCACACAACTCGCACAACACACAGACTCACAAACACAAACACGCGCACGCACGCGCGCACACACACACACAACAGACACACTCTCTTGCTCGCTCGCTCGCGTATTCACCCCCTCTCTCTCTTTCTCTCTCTCTCTCTTCTGCCTCCTCCTCCTCCTCCTCCTCCTCCTCATCCTCCTTCCTCTTTCTCTACCCCGTATACAGCGTTCGTTCTCGACAGCATGTGTATAGCAAACGACGGACGAAGATATTGCCGGAGGGAGAGGCACGTAGTCGCACAGATGCATAAACCACCACGCTTACACGTGCTGCTCCCTCCCTATCGCTCGATTCCTCTCTTGCTCACCTCTATTCTTCATATGTTTCTGGCTCCTTTCGCTCTCTATCTCTCTCTCTCTCTCATTCGATCTATCTCCCCCCGTCTCTTTGGCTTGCCTCTGGCGCGCAGGCGCGCGCGCTCTCCCGCTCTCCCTCCCCCGTTCTCTCTCGCGCCATCTCTTATAAATTCTCACTCATCAGCCAAAACTACCGCTCTCGCGATGCAAGACCCAGTACAAGAACGTCGTAACCGCCGCGCCCGCGCGTCAATCAGCGCGGCTTGGCACGTTATTGCCCCCGCAGCTTTAACGACACCGAAGCGACAATGCGGACAGGTGCCGTCGGCGATGATGACAGTCTGCGCGCTGTTTCCGATGCACAAAAGAATGAGGAAAATGCGTGCGTGCTGGCAACACATAAGGTGCCGTAATTTAGTTTCGCGCGTGCATGCGAAGACACAGCAACAATCAGTTACATGTGATATAGACCCCCCTCCTCTGTAACAACACAGCAACAAACTCCCCCGTAACAATACTGTGTAATGTCTGACAGACTCGTGTATAATAATACAGTGTAATAAGTGGCAGGCCCTTTGTAACAATATAGAATAATTGTGATTGGTGAAAAGTAACATAGCCCTTTCCATAGCAATATAGTGTAATGATAGTTAATTATATATTAAATAAGATTTCTCTGTAGCAATAAAGTGACAGGCCCACATGTAACAATATATGATAATATCAATGAATTACAATTGAGGTAGACCACCCCATGTAAGAACTTAGTGTATTAGTAAGTAATTATCAGTGAAATATATATCTCTGTAACGATATCGAGTAATGAGTGAAGCAGGCCCTCTGTAACGGGATATAATATATTATAAATAAATCGGGGTAACTGCTGGTCAATCTGCTCTGGGTTGGCCTAGATTACCGTAGTTACCTTTAATAGGTTACTGTGATAGGAACTCTATTAATCCAACACGAGATTTACATAGAGGCAATGATAAAACCCATGCGGTTCGATAGCATTGAGAAGATATGAAGAGAAGAATCCAGCGTGCCTCTTTCGTATATCTAAATTTGTGGTACATGAATGAGCCGGAACCGAATTTTTTACGCTATGCTTACAAAGTTAGAAGCTGAAATGGAGTGAGGGAGGGGATCCGCGGCAAAACATGACCCCGCTGTAAATACCCTTCCGTAACAGCAGGCGAAATGCGCAGTTCATTAGAAATTGGGAAACATTTATTACTGGCAGATTTTGAGCGCACGGCGCATGTGCGTCATTTAGATGTAAAAAGCCTACAGCGTGCATATATTAAATCATGAATATGAAAACAGGGCGCTGGTAAGCCGGTCCCGGATATGCCGCCTGTATTTACAAGATAGTTCGCCCATTATGTCGGTACCGTGATATAGCCTGCGATTCGCTTTCGTGTCATTCATTATTCGTTTTTGCAATTCTAAACCGCGAGAGATTTTAAACAACGGAAGCTCAGACTAGTAAGCTCGTATGGCTCGTTTAACGGATAAACACCGACCGATTATAATATCAGAGCTAAGATTATGGCTGGGTGAAAACGCGGCTAAGCAGTTACATTTTAACATGGTGTTGTTTGTAGTCCTCATGTGCTGTAACAGCATACGAAAGGCGCGTAAATCGCTGTCTTATCTATACTGATCGCGAACATGCAAAATTTAGTTTTATTCAACGTCATTCAAAACTCACAAAACCCACTATTTTAGTTGATAATAGACTGTGGAATATCTAACCGTGGTACCTAGCTACCTATACGCTAGTACAGCTTGACCCCACTGGCTCTACGCATGCACTCCGAGTGGATACCCTGTGCTAATGGCTCAGGTAAAGTCGGCCAATATCACGACATGCAGTTATGTGGATGCGTTGCCATGCTCTGCTAGATATCAGGCACGCGTGAACAATAATTGTACGAGCAAGCGGAAAACGTTAATATTTGACGTCGATAGACCCTCGACCCGAAAAATACTCGCGCACGCAAAAGCTAGACGTGTGCTATTCTTCGCTTTTCTCTCTTATGTTACAGTTGCTATGGTTAGATCCGGGGCGAAAAAGCACTTGATAAAATTTACAACGAACAACATCAGGGTGGAGTATAAGCTCTAGAACAAACATACTTAGAATTGATCAGAATTGAATTATAATATTTTTAATTAACCCAATCATGACCCTGCCCCTAACCTTTCGCACTAACCATAACACCATTTTCTTACCCTAACCCCAATACCTAAGTGCAACCCGAACTTTGATCTCTAGCTGCTGTTACAGACTGGACCGCGGAGAGCTGCACGGATCAACGCGACGACATGTACGTACCCGCCTCCACGAGTAGATGTAGGCGACGTCCATAAGGGCATACTCGTCCTTCAGCGATTCGTCACAGTGATAGATCTCCACCTGGCAGTGACAACATAAACACAATGGCATCAGCTTTTCGCGCGACAATGATAGCAAGCACGTCACTTCCGGGGAGAAGATTCTCTGGGAAAAATGATGCAGAAAGAATGCTAATCCATCGAGTCCAAATCAAAATTTGCTTTGATCGAGTAAATAGCCTATAATCGTGTGTACATAGTCTCTTATAGCCTGTTATAGTCTATATAGCCTAGACTAGTGTGCGTCCGTGTCGTGCTTTTTTTAATTGACAATAAACTGTGTCAATGTGCGAAATATTTTCAATCACAGCGCAAAGCTTTTCGAGGTGTCTTGCGCCGGCTCTCCCTCTCTATTTCTCTCTCTCCGGCTCCCTCTCTCGCTCTCTCGCTCCCCCTTCTCTCTCTCCTGCTCACTCTCGCTCGCTCGGTTTCGCATTCTCTGGCTCGCTGTTGTCTTCGATTTGCATAGTTGAATTTAAATGCATGCTGTCGGTTTTTAACTCTATCAAACCTCGATCAATGTTACACTGCTTTCAACGCGGATTTTCTTAAATACTTCTCGTATATATATATATATATATATATCGGAATCATACAGTGTAATTCAGACCGCGCATGTATGTCGCTGTATCTGCACGCCATCGCCAACTTGTCGCCCTTACTACTAGTATTACATGGAGAACGCAGCAAACCGAGATACACAGACGTATACACGCACGCACGCACATACATACACGCGCGCTCCCACGCGCACGCACCAACACACGCGCACGCGCACGCGCACGCAAACACACACACACACACACACACACACACACAC